GGTGTTTTAAGAAGAACGATAAAGTCTGGCTTTATAACCCCAAAAAGCGAAAAGGTTGTTCTCCCAAATTGCAGCAGTTTTGGGAAGGTCCATACCTCATTATGGAGAAGATCAATGATGTTATTTACCGAATAAGCAAGATTCCGAGGGGAAAGCCGATGATAGTACACCATAACCGGCTGGCGTCTTTCGAAGGTGACCACGACGTAGATGAAGAAGTGGAAGTAAACCAAGTCCAAGATGTGTCTGACCTCACGTTTAAGGAATTCATGGGTGCCTATGGAGGTACCGGTAAAGCAAGACATGGTGTTACCACTGAAGAAAAGCAAGATCTACTCGCTTCCCGATGACTACTCACTGGCCCTTACCATCCCGGCCAGTATCAAAGACGCACCAGGGTTGGCATCCGCCTTTCGAAGGAAGTTCGGTCGAGTTGCAGAACTTCAATGCCAAGTGCCAGCTCCTGGAAAAGCCTTAAAACTTCAAGATGCATCACATTACCTTTTCTACCTGGTAACAAAAGACACTGCCCGTGATCAACCTACCTACCGAGATGTATGGGAAGCCTTACTTCAGTTGAGAGAGCACGTACTAGAGTCCGACGTGCAAAAGTTAGCCATGCCAAAGTTGGAGTGCCGCCAATTAGATTGGAGGGTTATACGAAACATGGTGGAGGAAATCTTTAAAGACACCGAAGTCCAGGTGTTAGTCTGTTGCAATCCGCATAGTTACTGGTGCGGAGAGAAAACCGTCCCTTGTCATTTCTATACAACTGGAAGTTGTAAAAGAGGGTCCAGTTGCCGATATCAGCATGTCGTTCCAGTTCCAGTCCCGACAAGGTTCCAGGAGGAACCATCTTTTAAGAGGGGGGCAATGTTACGATTTTAAACGTTATGGCATATAGAACTGTAAATATTTTATGACTAATTCTTTTATTGATTCTCGTAATTTCTAGGTCAAAAATCTACCTGAATCGAATGTTCTGGGGGCGACAAGCCGATAAAAAAAACATGTTTTGAGACCAGTCGCCGCTGTGTCTACATCGAGAACAGCATGGTATTTTCTACACCTTTCTGTTTACCGGCTTGGAATTATATAAATAAGGGAATACTTTCATTGAGGAGGCAGTCATAAGAAGATCGGTACACGCGGTATTTAAATGTAACGAAACGTGAAATAAATACATTTGTAAAGTTATTTAATAAATTAGTAATTAGCTATCGTGAGTTTTAATAAATTAGATTATAGACAATAAATTAGAATAAAGACAAATAAATTAGAACTATATAAACGTCACAATAGTCTTCCTCGGCATTCCCAACGGAAACGTCGTTGTCTCGTGAGCTAATAGTTTTTGCATTTTGAGGTTAAGTAAAGTAAGCGTACATGAATAACAGTGTTTATGTATAACAGTTGTAAAGCGTACACATTGCTATCAAAAATAGTACGTGTAAATAAAGGGTGCATTGGTATAAATTTAAATAAGTATCCATGATGTACCCAAGAGGTCAATTCATAGTAAATTTAGTAAGGACAGCTAACAAGCGAGAAACAGATTCTTAACAAGAGCATTGTTCAAGAGGTTAGTATATTTTTCATATGTATAGAAACAAATTATTAATATCTTTTTTTAGAAACAATTTGTGATAACCCGGACCTAAATATGATCAGAGAAGTTATAGTTGCTAATATCAAAGCGTTTATATGTTTGTTTTAATATGAATAAGTTAAGATTTATAATGTAAGATGCATCGTCTTTTGTTTTCAGAAAAGGTTAAGGCACGAAAAATAGGCGAAGATTGCCAATAAACATGCAGGCTTAAGTGTACCACAAAAATAAATGAAGAAATGAGACATAGGATTTTTAAAGACTTTTTCAACTTGCCAGATCATACAAAGCAATGCGACTGTATTGTGCAGCATGAGACAGAGATAGAGAAAAAACAAAGTACTGATTCTGCTGGTGTACACTGTCGTAGGAATTTTTCTCGGAAATATCATTTTCAGCTTGGCGGTGAACAAAGTCAAATTTGTAAAAATATGTTTTTAAAAAAACTTGGTATTTCACAAACTTAAGTAAATACAGCATTGGCTAAAAGAAAGGAAACGAGTTTTACAATCAGATCAACGTGGAAAATATAAAGTACGACCGTATAGACTTTCTCCAAATATTGCAGAAACTGTGAGAAAGCACATAAACTAATTTCCTTGATACCCTCACATTATATTCGGTGTCTAAGGAGTCTAAGAGGAAGCATCTTGAGGAGGTTTTAAGAATTCAAAAAATGTATAAACTATATACGAAATTTTATGTGGATGAAAACAGTCTTGGACAACTTGCTACTCATCGCCAGTACAGAGACATTTTCAACACTGAATTTAATATCAGTTTCTTTAGAACAAAGAAAGAACAGTGCGATGTATGCTCAGTCTTTAACCTAGCTGACGAAACTGGGAATGTCGACTTACAGGGGAACTATGAACGTCACTTGGTTAATAAAATAGTAGCTAGAAATATGAAAAAATGTGACAAATAACTCACCTTGACTGATAAGACCATCTGCGTTGCATGTTTCGTTCTCCAAAAAGTTTTAGCGACTCCTCTATCGAACGTAAGCGATTTTTTTTATAAGTCACATATAACTTCACCATATTTGTATATAGGCAACAATGATGGTTTCTGTTATGTATGCCATGAACAAATTGCTAAACGAGGTTCAAACAACATTGGTAGTTGTTTGTGGAAGTTTATAGAGACCCAGAAAAAGAAGGGCATTAAATCACTTATTTTCTATTCGGATCACTGTGGTGGGCAAAACAGAAACCACACCATATTTTCAATGTTTACTTAAGCAGCTAGTTCCGAGGCTTTATATCGGTTCTTTGAGCCTTGTTTTCTTTTACAATGGGTAGGAGCAATGCCACTATTCTCTTTAATATAATAATGGACGACATAATACAAGCAGTACGTAAAGGTCATGGCTAAAGAGTGGGGAACAAAGAAATCCAAATATTATGTTATGCAGACGACGCCGCATTAATCGCCGAGACAGAAGACGAGCTCCAAAGATTAATAAACATCTTCAATACAACAGCCAAGAACTAAAATATGGTTCTGAAGCTATTTTCTAGTGGCGTTTTAAAGTAATTACTATTTAAATTGGAATAGGCCACAATTAAAGGTTAAAGTACGTTTATTGACGTTTCAATTTCCACTTCGGAAATGAGAAAAAAGAACGATTACCGAAGTGGAAATTCAAACGTCAATAAACGTACTTTAACCTTTAAATGGCCTATTCCCATTTAAATAGTAATAACTGAAATATGATAATATTAGCAGAAAAAACCAAATGTATGACAACATCTAAATACCCACTTCGGTGTAAAATCCAAATTGATGGGAAAATAATAAAGCAGGAAGCAAGGTTTGGATATGTGGGAATATATTTAACTAGTTACGGAGATATTAAGAAGAAGTAAGACAGCAAAGCTTAAAAGCAAGTAAAGCGGCGGGATCTCTTAATGACACAATCTGGAAGAACAAACACCTAAGACACAAATACAAGAATCTATGAAGCAGCAATTAGACCTATATTAACATACACGGCGGAGACAAGACCTGACACATCTAAAATGAGACGACTACTGTTGGATAGGGAGAGAAGCGAAAACATAAGAAGAAGATGCAATATAGAAGACATAAATGGATGGGTGACAAAACGAAAACAGGAGTGGAACGAACACACCAGTAGAATGGCAGGATAGAATAGTAAGAATAGCACGAGATAAGTCACCAAATGGACGAAGAACTAATGGCAGACCAAGAAAAAGATGGTGCGAGAATTTAAACAATTTAGGAGACTAATATTGAAGGAGAAACAGGCTTTAAAGCCTACATACAAGAAGAAAGAAGAAGAAGAAGCATAAGCTTATGCACCTATCTATTTTCAAGTTAGTGTTACTCATAGATTTTTAAAGAAAGGACACACCCAAAATGAGGGAGACAGCATGCATGCTGTAATTAAAAACGCGAAAAAACGTCAGTCGTTCTTGTGTGTTCCTGAACAATAGATTACTTTGATAAGAATGGCCAAAACTCTTGGAAAAGTATATAATTTAACAGAAATGTCACAAGAAGACTTCCTAGATTTCCAAAGCCTTATTAGCAATAAAAATTGGAAAACTGACAATGAAAAAGGAATGATCAAAATCAGTTAAATAAAGCAAAAAAGGGTGTTGTATAACACACCAGATGTTGTCTTTTTTTTAGTATGATTTATGTTTCGATTTTAACAGATGTGATCTAACAAAAACAAAAAGGGGACGTCATTCTCATACTGATATATTTACACAAATCTTTTGCCAATACCATGTACCATGGCTGATATAGAACTCTGCATTCTGATACATCATAAAATTATGAAATAACTACAAGCAGTGACGACGAAGAACTGCAATAATGATTGTTTATAATATTTTGTAATTTAACAATTTAACTGCTATTCAGACTTTAATCATAAATACAGTTTCACAGAACGATGGTATGTAGTATTTATATTCCCGATTTTTTTTTTCAGCGAATATTGTACTAACTCAATTAAAAATCAGATAAAGAAACAAAATTCGCATATTTAGAAGCACAAATGAAACAATACAGTAAACACAATGGATAAATATAAAAACAAATTAGTAATTAAGAACCCCCGATTTTTTGCATTAATCAAAATGCTTTAAAAACTTAAAAAAGCTTGCTTTATTTGAAAACATAAAAAAAGAGTTAGTGCAGTTTATACGCTTATAAAAGGTATATTTATAAATACACCTTTTATTAAGGATTTTTTAGTAAAAACATGTGATATATGGTATACAGCGGACTACAAACAGGAAATTAACTTTTTCCTTATGGATATTTTAATGCTTTACACTATTAATAATTTCATATTTATTATTCCTTCTGCTAATTTGATACCACATAAAAACATGATTTAACAAGAACTTACTTCTTTGCATAATCAATAACAACATGATTCTTGGCAGTTCCTGTAATTCCATCATGATGTTGAAATAAAGAAAGAGCATTTCGAGCTGAAGTTATCATATTTTCTAAACCAAGCTTTGCATCAACAATCCAAGATGCTCCTGGTTTACCGCTTAAGTATGCTAATGTATGAATAGTTTGAGCTGCCCTGAAACGATTAAAAACAATTAAAAAATAATAAAAATGTACCATTGCTATAAGAAATATATTTATAATAGAATTGGATGCCTTATTCAATCAAATATTTTAGAATTATATAGTTTGAAATTGATATGCCTGTTGGAATTTTAAATAAATTTGAACAGCATCTACACCTACTCTAAGTTGTTAGTACTATTTACTACTACCAAAACAGTTATCTTTATCAACAGTTCGCTTTTAAAAAAATCCTACAGTACTGTTATCTTGATAATTAGCAATATCTTATGAGTTAAATATGATTTGTACTCAAATAGTCGCTAATGAGTATATTAAGTGTCGGTAAATAACAAAAGTGACGTTGCGGCATGATAACTTACGAAGTTATGTGAATGTAAAATGGAGGGAAAACTGAACATATTTAAGACTTTAGGAAATGGATTGAATAACATTCGGGAGAACCTAATCGAATTGCATCCCGAAAAAGTCCTTCAAAAGAAACGAAAGAGAGCACCAAAGGAAGTGCGCCAAAAATGAATAGTTAAGCTCGAAATAGAAACTACCATTACTTAAGTTATTTCAACTATAATAGAAATGTGAAAACTAATTCTTCAATTATGGAATTATCCAGGTAGATCTACAAGGTAAAGAAAACTCACATATAATACACTAATATACATTTAATATTTAAAAATTTACAATTACAATAATAATATAAACATAGGAGCAGATGCCTTGAAAGTGGCTGGAAAAAGATTATGGCAGGTCCTTGCCAAACTATTCACTAGATGTTTGCAGGAAGCAATAACACCAACCCAATGATATAACGCAGAAACGATCATACTTCATAAAAAAGGGGATGCTACCGACCTCAGGAATTACAGGCTCATAAGTCTAGTTTTACATATTTATAAACTATTTACAAAAATAATTTTATCAGCCCATAGAACAGGGGGGTTTTAGAAAAGGCTATGGAACAAACCACCTACTGATAATAAACAATCTTATAGAAAAATGCACTGAATATAATAAACCACTAGCTTTAATATTTGTCGACTATGAAAAGGCATTCGACACCGTAAATCAACAAAAAATATTGGAAGCATTGACAGAATGCCGAATTGACTATCGGTATATAAATATAATTACATATACCAAAACGCAACAGCCAGTGTTAGAGTGGGTGATTCTCAAACCCAGAAATTCCCGATACAACGTGGAGTACGCCAAGGGGACACCATATCGCCGAAACTGTTCACTACGCTTTTGGAATATAATTGTAAAAGGGCAAAACTGACCGACAACGGCATAAACATAAACGGAGAAAAGCTTAGACATCTAAGGTTTGCAGATGATATTGTACTAATAGCTGATAGGATAGATGAGGCCAAAAAACTTTTAAATCAGCTCTACCTTTTTTCGCTAGAAAGGGAATTGAAAATAAATATATTTAAAACCCAGATGATGACAAATCTTGTAGTCAGCGAAGATATATGCGTAGGAACAAGATCCATAGACCAGGTAATGGCCTATAAATACCTAGGTCATGAGATCCGCATAGCAAAAGATAACCAAACCATTAAGCTTCTTCGTCGTATAAGACTGACTTGGGCAGTCTTCGGCAAACTGAACCATATTTTCAAATCGTCTGATATACCAATATGCCTTAAAAGAAAAACCTTTAATCAGTGTGTTTTGTCAGTGTTGACTTACGAGGCGGAAACGTTGACCACGACAAGGAGAACAGTTCAAAAGATCCGTGTGTGTCAAAGGGCGATGGAGCGTGCTATGTTGGGCGTTTCACTACGAGACAAGATCCCAAATCGCCAGCTACGACAAAGAACCGGAGTGGCTGATGCAGTAAGGAGAGTAGCAACACTGAAATGGAACTAGGCAGGTCACGTAGCTCGAATGACAGATAATAGATGGACAAAGAGGATACTGGAATGGAGACCAAGAGATGATGCCTACCGAAGCAGAGGTCGTCCACCAACACGTTGGACTGACGATCTAAAACGTTGTCATAGGAATTGGATGCAAGAGGCACAAGATCGAAATAGATGGGAAATTATGAGGGAGATCTATGTCCAGCAATGGATAAGCGAAGATTGAATGATGATAAAAAATAAGTAGGTAAGTGACAGAGTAAATTACAGAATGAATAAAATTAATAAAAATGATGATTATCAGTAAATTCGAGTACACTAGTTTCAAATTTGCCCTACCTACATTTACTAATATCCAAGGTACCCAAAGAGTTGGGGCTTGAATCCTTCGTGGTTTGTCTCAACATAAAGAAAGGTAAATGATTATACTTTTAACAGAAAGTAAATTATATACTCAACTGAAGAAAACTAAAATATAGAGAGACTTCTGTTGCCGACCATAATGTAGCTTCGCCTATTTTTTAAATAATTTTAAACTATTTGTCCTTGTTTAGTGTAGTGTTATGTACAATTTTATATTTATGACATTCTGTAATTGTTGGATAGCCCAAAATTGATGAAATACCCCTGAAGATGCTCTAGGAAGCGAAAGTACTTAGGTAAGATTTAATTAATAAAACTGTGCTCTATATCTGCCTTTCATTTGATCAAAGTTCATTTATTCGAGCATTCAACCTTATATCAATTCAAACAATTGATTTAAAACAGTGTTTACAACTTAATATCGTTATCTCCATAATCCATTAAATTATGAAACTGACGTAATAGTTTTTTTTACTTACTTTACATATGATAGTACCATTCTGTCCATTCTTTTATAGAACGGCCTAGAAGTATAATAGCCGCTCCAATAATGATCATCACGATCCGCATAAGTGAAAAAATCGCCAGAAAAAGTAGGAAAATCTTTATATTTTTGTTTTCGGAGTTCATTAAAATAGTCTGTCAACGTTCCGAACTGAGCCTGTAATATATTTAAGAAAATAATGTTATTAATAAATAAATAAAATTTATAAATTAGAATTAGTCAGTTGTTATTTTCTGGAGATGATAAGGTTGTATGTAGTTAAAAGTAGTGGGATATTAAAGTTATAAAAACAATTTCTTGCAGTAGTAAGCCAAATATTTACAGCTCATTGTTGCAATACGTTGACTTGTTGACAACTCTACAAACTATTTTTTTTTGGTGCCACTATTATGACCGTTATCATAGTTATCCGTAGGCTGGGCTACAAACTAGTTTTTAAAATTCATCACCACTAGATTTTAATTTATCTGTTTTTAAAATGGAATACAAACTTTCAGAAATGAACTGAATTTTCCGTCACTACATTTTGTTTGTTGGTTTATTACAGCAAAATTGTCTTTACATGAGTGGCTAAACACCCCCACAAAAATTACGTTGTCAATAAAGTTCTCTAGATCTATGATAATGAAGTAGATCAGTATTGATTTTCTTATTTAATATTTAGTCCAGTTGGCAGATATTTCTGAGAATATCAATTTTGGGACATATAAAAAGATGCAAAAAAGTTTACCACTTTAACCCCCAGGTTTCCTCCTAAAATCCCCCTCGCAGGGGAGTAAAAACGCAAAAAAATCGATTTATGAAGAATCTGTACGCCGTAGAAAAAAATGTTTTAAATATAAAATGTAGCTGAAATAATTTTGAACAAAAATGTTTAATAGCACTTTTTGTGTAGAACGAACCGATCTCTCAGATATAATGTTTGAATCGACCGGCGATTTTGAATGTCAGTTCCGCGCACGAAATAAATGTTAAATAAAATTTGTATCAACTAGACGGTAAAAAGTCGATATCTTTTTGTATCTATATGATCAGAGTGTCCTATCAACAAAAATAAAAATTTCTTTTAAAGGTGAAGAGAGCAGCTTTCGTACGCAATTTTTGTATTTGGCAGCAAATGTAGTCAGTTTCTATAAGCTGTTCAAAAAATAAACATTTGCGCGATTTTTGTCATTTTTTACGATTCTCGTGAGAGCAATACAATTTATTACGTCAGCATACCAGTCTTCAAAATCTGTAACATGAAAAGTCGATTTTGATTTTTGGTAACCAATATGAGGCATTTTAAGTATGACTAAAAACGCAGAATTTAAAATTTTACATTACAAACAATCGCACGTTACAAAAAATGCCTCCAAGAAGACGGTTTTGGTTATAATTTATAGCAGAGGTTAAGTACTTTTAAAAAACGTGGCAGTTTTAAACGTTTTAGATCGTTTGTAAGGTGAAAGTTTAAATTCAGCGTTTTTTAAACATATTTCAAATGCCTCAAATGACTCATTTGTTGCCAAAACTCAAAACTATAATTTCATGCTACTAAAATTTCACGACTAAAATTTCAGGTTTTGAAGATTAGATTCTAGTTATAGAAACTTTTAAATATAAAATGTAGCTGAAATAATTTTGAACAAAAATGTTTAATAGCACTTTTTGTGTAGAACGAACCGATCTCTCAGATATAATGTTTGAATCGACCGGCGATTTTGAATGTCAGTTCCGCGCACGAAATAAATGTTAAATAAAATTTGTATCAACTAGACGGTAAAAAGTCGATATCTTTTTGTATCTATATGATCAGAGTATCCTATCAACAAAAATAAAAATTTCTTTTAAAGGTGAAGAGAGCAGCTTTCGTACGCAATTTTTGTATTTGGCAGCAAATGTAGTCAGTTTCTATAAGCTGTTCAAAAAATAAACATTTGCGCGATTTTTGTCATTTTTTACGATTCTCGTGAGAGCAATACAATTTATTACGTCAGCATACCAGTCTTCAAAATCTGTAACATGAAAAGTCGATTTTGATTTTTGGTAACCAATATGAGGCATTTTAAGTATGACTAAAAACGCAGAATTTAAAATTTTACATTACAAACAATCGCACGTTACAAAAAATGCCTCCAAGAAGACGGTTTTGGTTATAATTTATAGCAGAGGTTAAGTACTTTTAAAAAACGTGGCAGTTTTAAACGTTTTAGATCGTTTGTAAGGTGAAAGTTTAAATTCAGCGTTTTTTAAACATATTTCAAATGCCTCAAATGACTCATTTGTTGCCAAAACTCAAAACTATAATTTCATGCTACTAAAATTTCACGACTAAAATTTCAGGTTTTGAAGATTAGATTCTAGTTATAGAAACTTCAATGTGGAAGGTCAATGAAAGGGATACATTTTATTCATCTCATAAGAATCATAAAAAATTGCAAAAATCGCGCCACGTTTATTTATTTAACACCTCTATAAAAACTGAGTTGTTTGCGGCAAAATACAAAATTTTTATATGGAAGCTGTACTCTTCATGAATGAGCTTTGATTTCACGCGCGACATTCAAAATCTCCGATCAGTTTAATCGTTGTTTCTGAGAGAACGGTTTGTTCTACGCAACAAAGGTAACAAACGCTTTTGTTCAAAATTATCTTAAGTACATTTTTTATTTGAAACATTTTTTTCTATGGCGTACAGATGCTTGGTAAATCGATTTTTTTCTGTTTCCCCCTCTCTAAGATTGACATTTTCAGCAAAATTCAGCTTGTTCGTATGATTTTTAGTAATTCGGTGGCATTTTCGTTTCTGGACTGGACTGCATTTTCGACTGAAGTAATTCTCAATTCTGTTTCTCCGCAATTCCCCTGTGTTTGCCACCCGGTGACTTTCCTAATATTTTAAATACTATCATAGTTGACGCTTATATCCATACATTAATGTTCTATCCATTTCGCTGTTTGCTGATTTATTTTACAAATTATAAATTCGTTCAGTGGCTCATGGTTTTTCTTTGTCTAAATTCGTTTTTATTTATTTGTATTGGTTCTAATATTGTGCTTACTATACAGATTAAGCGAAAATAAAACGAAGCATACACATTTAACACATTGTATCTAAACTAAGTTTGAAACAGTCGACCTATAAAAAAGTTAACACATTAACACCATAAATTATAGCAACGTTAGTTCGACATGTAGCAAAATATCGCTTAACTCTTTTTGCGAGACCAACCGAAAGTAAAGCCAAGCCTGAGCTTGGCTGTTTAACTTCGAACGTCCCGTCAATGATGCCATCATTGATGCCAACGTACTATAATTATATTTGCACGATAATTACAACTTTGGTTTTATTAATATGTATACTTAGGTATAACAGCAAGTATTTTCTTTCTCTTGCAGAATTCGCGTAATGGATGAAAGCGATTTTGAACAAGGCCAGAGTTCATCAATCCCTCCAAAAAAGAACATTTGCAACAAGAGAACCTAAAGATATCGCAAAGAATAGGAATCATCTATTAAATGGGTTTTTAGTGATAAAGATTCCAAAACAAAGGCGTATTGAAAAGTTTTTTCTAGATCACTAAAATCGGAGATTCAGACATTGAAACTTTATGAAAATAGTGCAAAACATAAACAAATGATAAAATCTCACAGGTCTCAAGCATCATTAGGAAAGTTAATTTAATTAAAACAAAACAAAGAAATAGATTAATTACAAATACTGTTAACGGTAATATTGGTAACGATAATAGCTTATCAATACTTTCATCTCAATGTATAAAAGAAACAAATAGTAGATGCATAATATTTGAACCGTCAAATCAAATGTATCCGGAATGTATACTATCGATGTATGGACAAGTACAAAAAAAGTCCGAAGATTCTAATATATCAGACGAGAAAATTCTTATATCTTGAACTATATATTTTTTAATATACTATAACAATCTCCTAGCTCATACTATTATAGCTTTCAATAGAATTAGCAACATTCCGTCGCGGTTCTCGTCTCACTCCCAGTCCAGCCTACGCAGTTCACTGAGTAGGTTGTTAGGTAAGTCCGTAAGATATGAAAATAAAACAATTTCGTAAATACATCAATATGTATAGACTTGAAGAAAAGATACAAATTTTAATATGATATTTTGGAGGTCACTTAACTTAGTAGTAGATTTATTCGTTGTTGCTTTTGAGAATAGGACAATTCCTTCAAGACCCACAGTTGACAAATAATTCAAAAATTTCGTATGTGGGTGTATTCAAAACTGTCACAAATATGATTATCTTAAACAACATTTTATTTATTGACGAATCGATATTTTCTCTTCACAGGAAACACAATCCATCCATTGTTCGATATTGGTCTCGGGAAAATAGGCATCTAAGTATTCCTGTGCGTAAACAATACCAACAAAAACTTAATTTTTGGTAGGGGATTTTGGATGATTATGTAATAGGCCCCTTTTTTATTGATATCAACTCAACGGCACTAAATCCCTCGAACTGCTACAAAATCAACTCGTTCCAGCAATTCAGCAACCTCCTGTGAATTTTGAACTTATTTGGTAACAGCATGATGGATCTCCCAGTGATAATACCAGGGCATTTACCGAATTTCTCCAAAGGACATTTTCCAACCGCATAATTACAACAAAGTACAATCAAGTGGCCTCCAAGATCAGCCGATTGGTCCCCAAATGATTTTTTTTTTTTTGAGTTCTTAAATCAAATATTTATCGGTACAATTTTAAACGTGAAGAAAATGTAATGAAGTTAAGGGCGAAAATTGTCCAGCATCGTGTCAACATTACGCCCAATCAACTCAGAAATACAAGAATATCTTTGTTTAATAGATTTGAAGCTTTAGTTCATTCATTTTTTGGCTATTTTAAATTGTTTTTAGAATTTTATCTTTTAAGTTTCTTTTAGAATAATTATGTTGTGTTTTTTTTTACGAATGTATATTTAATTTTCAAAGCCGTTACGGCAAAAAGAAACCACACACCTATTTTATTAAGAAACATTATTTGTAAACAGATTATACAAATCATTTTTCTCCCTAAAGCTACTAGATAATACGTAAAAATATGCGCGTTGAACTTCATCTGCACCCCCATCGATTTTAAATGATTACTGACTACCGACTACCGCTACCGATATCGCTCTGTGCTCTCCACTAAAATGTGATGTGTAAGGGAGAGCGCCCACCAAACTGGTATGGCAAGTGGCAAGTAGCGCGCGTCTAGCATGTTACTTAAAACGTAACCAATGAAAACGAATGATTCAGCGCGCACGAAAATGACAGTGACGTCATTCATTCTAATCATTCGTTTGCATTGGTTACATTTTAAGTAACACGCTAAACGCGTGCTACTTGCCTCTTGCCATGCCAGTTTGATGGGCGCTCTCCCTTACACGTCAAACACGTGGTGGGAGATGCAACCTATATGCGTGGAAATAGTTCAGAATCCAGCAGCCCACTCGAGGATTTGATTTTTATGGTATAATTCTTTGTAAACCTTTTGTTGGCCAGCTGCCGAGCGGAGTGATGTAATTTATATGCTCCCTTTTATTTTCGCTTATTATGTATACACTTACCTGGACATTTAATTTAGCATTTCCGTTCATGTACTCAAATAATTTTTGATAATTTTCGAACTGCACGTCCCATTCCGTTGGATGATCATATCTGAAGTCGTCTCCTAAAGGAGCAAGGACTACATTAGTCTTAAAAAGCTTCGATTTCTTTCTATACTGATCCAATAGAAGCTCTGCTCTAAAAATGGAAAAAAGTGTACAAACAAAATAATTGAGATCACATTTCATCTTAATTATGAATCATTTTAATATATACCTAATTAAACATCCAGAAAGTAAAATTTTTTACATACTACGTTTTTATTTATGACTTTGGAATAGGTTTTAGCGCATGCTATCGAGACTATTTTAATTCGAGCCCTTGCTTCAACAGACCCTTAAACGCTTTATAAGGTTTGCGCAAAACACGTCGAGCCAACGCAGTCATTTGCTCGACTTTTTCGGTCCCCGCAGTTTTGGTGCCTGCATTTCAGTAGTTGTTCTTCGTCTCCGGAAATATATCCTCAAAGAGGATTGTTTCATATTTTCCAAATGTGAAATTTTCCAAAATAAAGGCCGCATGACAAAATTAGAAACATTCACAAAATGGGCATATACTAAAATAACTCCATCTTTCAGGGTAATAACTCCATAATATGTGCTAGAAAGTATGAATGCCTCTCTTTTCCCTCTAAAAGTCTATCATTGTCGAGAACTCATAAGGTAGATCTAGAACCGAAGACAAATTTTGCATTTCTCTAGAGTACCCTCGCTATGTAGCGCCATGAAATTTAGACAACAGAAAACAGACATTACTTTGTATTAATGCAATTGCACTAAATATTTTCCACTTGCATTGTGTATACCGCTTCTTGGTGAGTTTTTTGAAGCGAATCTTCTATACTGGCGTTGCATTTTAATTTTTTCTCTATAGTGAAATTCTGAGGCGAGCGTCACGGAACTAGCGCCAAAGGATGGCGTTATCAAGAGTAGCGTCATAGAAAAGCGAGTCTACACATCAATTCACTACTCTCGATTAATTCATTTCTAGTCACCATATATTTACTCTAAGCGGGTTTAATTTAAAAACTACATGAAAAATAACCAACAAAATACAGACATTAAATGAAAAGAAATAAATTAAAAGTAGATCTTTCAATAAAAGATAGTAAAACAAACAGAAACATAAAAGATCAATACTAAAATTCGATTCATAACAATTAATAACAATATAAAATCATCTGTTTAATAACACCCGATATCATAATCAATTTAAAGTGAACATTAAATAAATTAAAAGTTCACTTTAAGTGTAAATTTCACTTTCATAATACCATTTTTTGTACAGAAGTAGCCTATCTATCCCTCCTCTAATCTATGTTCATGTTCTAATGTTTATTTAAAGTGGTTGTTGTACAATTTGAAATATTTAAACAATGACTTTCGGGATTGTATTACATATCGTTAAAGTTTATAACTTACCTTTCTGCAATATTCCTCTCTGTAATGACTTGAGGTGCTATTCTCCAAGGACAATAAAGGCCATGATTTGGCAGTCGTTTAAAGTCAAACTGGCAACAAATTTTCGGGTCTGGTCCACACGTGTGGGGAATGTCATAAGAATAAAAAGGCATCATATGTGTTAAAATTTCTGTACTGCCGGTGCTATCTAAAAATAAAAACAACTCGAATTCAAGTATCATGACACATATGTTGACAAGTTAAAATGTGAAGTTAAGGTTTTTATACCTATACATGACGTGACTACAAGCATCCTTTTATTAAGTAAGTAATTACCACACATTTTTATTTAACAGTAAAAACTTTATCCGTTTTTTTATTAATTTAAGTAGAATTACTTGTTTTTTATATCTCACTGATGATGGTCTGATACGACTAAAAACATTTGATAAATTTTAAATAATCAGTTTTTATTTTCACATATATCTCTTCCTCTTTAGTTTTGAGGAAGGAATGTATCCGTTATCCACTTATTGTACGTAAGAGAGATGCCTCTAGGGATAATCAAAATGATCGAAAATATTTACCAAAACAACATAATAAAGGTGAAAGTAAAAGAAGAATTAACCGACCCTATTGAAGTTGGCAATGGGATAAGACAGGGAGATAGGGAGATTCCCTGAGTCCTCTATTGTTCAACCTGATTATGGATGAAATAATAAAAAAAGTATGAACTAAAAAAGGATACCAAATGGGAGAAAAACTACTTAAAATAATCTGCTATACAGACGACGCAATGCTAATCTCTTAAAATGAAGATTATGTGCAACATATGCTGCACCAATTTAATATAACCGCCAGCAAATTTAACATCATATATAACAGTAAATGTACTAAGATGTAAGTTGGAGCTGGAGGGTCAAATAGTAGAACACGTGATGAAGTTTAAATATCCAGGCATCACATTATCTAGCTACGGAAAGCTCGAAATTCAAGTAGAAGATCAAGTGAATAGAGCAAACAGAGTCGAAGGCTGCCTGAATGAAACAATATTGAGAAATAAAAATATCAGGAAAAAAATTAAAGGTCATCAGAACAATAATGACATACGCGGCAGAAACACGACCTGACACAGACAGGACAAAAATGATGTTAAAAACAGCAGAAATGAAAACACTTGGAAAAACTAATAGTAATACTATGGGACAGAGCTAGAAGCACAGATATACGACATAGATGCAAGGTAGAGAACATCAAGAACTGGGTAAGAAATAGAAGAATAGAATGGAACGACCATATAAACCGAGTGACAACAAAGAGAGTAGTAAAGACGGCAAGAGACGATTTCCCAATAGGAAGACGATCAGTAGGAAGACCACGAAAACGATGGAACGATAACTTACTGGATGCACATTGACAAAACAGACGGAGTAATGTCTAGATAAAAAGAAGAAGAGGAAGAGGAAGGAATGTAGTGTTCATCCTGATATCTTGCATGGCCGTCTCCGTAACATCTGTCTCTGGTTATTTCTATTACATCTTACATTCGACTTTCCACCTTTCCTTAAATGATGATGTCTCCCCATTTTGTATATGTCTGACCTCATGACATGTCCAAAATATTTTAATTGTTACAGTTGGATTTTGATAGAGAATCTCTTACTGATCTTTACTTTTCTCAGAATGGAATTATGTGTTTGATGGCCTGTCCTTCTAATTGGCAACATTCTTTTCCAGCAGAACATTTCAGTGTCATCTATATTTCTCTTTCTGATTTCCTTAGGGTTCAAGATTCGCATCCATATGTATGTACCGCAAATATTAAGGAGTTGACCAATCTCATGTTTGGATTTTATGTAATTTTTGAATATTTCCATATTTTGGTCATCTTCACCATAGTGATCTTGGCTAGATCACATCAAATTTTATCTCCTCCTGGAGACATTTACTCCTATCTTCACAATATACCTCCTACAGAAATAAGTTTTTATACACACTTTACGACCACCTGATAAATCGTGCTGCAAAATTATTTATACAAATAATTTTTATTCAGATTTACAAGAGGTGATACAAATAGAATTTAAGTGATTCATAGGACGGTGTTAGAATAAGAACAGATACTCGTGAAGCAGTTAAAAAACTGTAATTATGGTGAAATATCTAGAGGTTTAAAAAAGATTATGCTTATGCTGGGTTGATTTACAAAAAAAAATATATGAAAATTTAATCGAAATGCTAAACGACGTAGAACTAGATTGAACAAGATCTAGTCGCAATTAAGAAAGTATACTGAAACCACGCAAGCAAGAACAAAGAACTGTAATAGCAATTATAGAAATATAAAACCAGGACCTCGAGGACTAAGGTACAACAGTTTATAATGATAAAGTTTACACTTAAGACTCTAAAAAACCTCTAGCGACTGGAAAACCGGGATTACATGCTCAATCTATAAAAAAGGCTCTTAGGTACAGCGCACACAGTTTTTACTTACATACTAAACAAACGACTCCAACAACTAACTCAAAACATTGTCGGGGAATATCAAACCTGTTTCCGACAAGGAAGAACTACAACTGATCAGCTATTCACTGTCAAACTAATTCTAAACAAATCGTGGGAATACGACATTGATGTCCACGACATATTCATAGATTTTAAACAGGCCTACGACTCAATTAATGGACACAAGTTGTATCAAATACTGCATAGGTTTAACATCCACCAAAAATACATCCGACCAACAAAAGGATGTCTTTCTATGTTTTGTAGACTTTGAAAAGGCATTTGATCGCGTAAACCATAATAAAATGTTAAATTCCTTGCAGAGCATCAACTTGGATAGTAAAGATCTCCGATTAATTAAGAACTTATATTGGAGGCAGAGTGCCAAGATTAGGATCGACGATCATACATCTAGAAATATTAGTATAAATAAAGGAGTAAGGCAAGGATGCATACTATCCCCTATGCTGTTCAATCTTTACTCGGAACTACTATTCAAGCAAGCCTTGGAAAACCTTTCCACAGGAATAAAAATTAATGGAGAACCAATATCTAGCATAAGATATGCAGATGACACTGTCCTACTGGCTGATACAGACACAAACTTACAGGGGGTTATAGACCACCTTAAGGATGCTTGTCGAGAGTTTGGAATGAAGATCAACGAAAAAAAAAACAAAAGTAATGGTGATCCAAAGAAAACAGAATATCCCCTTACCTATAAAAATAAATGGGAATATTTTAGAACCAATACAAATACCTTGGCTGTTGGATTAATTGCAAGCTGGACCCAGAACAAGAAATTAAAGCGAGAATTGCTCAAGCTAGGGATAGTTTCTTTAAGATGCGCGTTCTATTCTGCGATACAATATAAATATTAAATTGAGATTAAAACTTGTAAAATGTTTTATCTGGTCTGTTCTTCTCTACGGAGTCGAAACGTGGACTTTAAAAATAAAGAGCCTGAATAGAATCGAGACATTTGAAATGTGGGTGTACCGTAGAATTTTAAAAATTCCTTGGACAGCACGAAAAACAAATGAAGAAGTACTAGCTAGACTCAATTTAGAAAAAGAACTATTGAGAACAGTCAAAAGAAGAAAAACCAGTTATTTAGGGCATTTGTTGCGCAACGAGAAATACTACATCCCTCAGTTGATAACAAAAGGCAAAATAGAAGGAAAGCGAGGAATTGGAAGAAAAAAATTGCCCTGGTTACGTAATATCAGAAACTGGACAGGACTTGGATTTGAGGAACTCTTAAGAGCAGCTGAAGATAGACAAACGTTTGCCACCATAACCGCTAACCTCCATTGATGGAGACGGCACTTGAAGAAGTAAAAGTATCAATGAATCGTGGCAGCAACTGTCAGAGTACAAAATGAACTCACTGAGAACTTTTCAATAGTCAAACGATTAAAGCAAGAAGACGGGCTGGCACCGACACTATTCAACCTGACTCTCTAATATGTGATAAGAGCTGAATGTAGGGAGAGGTAATATCCTAACAAATACATCGACACAGATTGCCGATGACATCAGAATTATGTATCGCAGAACAGAAGCGGCTGCAGAAATATATTCTCAATTAAAAACAGAGGCAAACGAGACCGGACTAGAAAAAATCATTCAAAAGACAAAAAGCTAACACAGGCAAGAACTAGGGGAAACAGACGCAAAGTTGAATTAGAGGACGATATTGAAACTGTAGAAAGTTTCACATATCTTGGAAATACATTAAGAAAGAATGGAACAGAAGAACCAAAAATTCAAAAAAGAATAGTAAAAGGAAACAAAGCTTATTTTTGACTCACTGATGTGTTGCGCTACAAAAACACACACTAGAGATATAAAATCAAGATCTACAGAACTATTATCATACCAATAGTATGTTATGGGAAAGCTGTGAGTCTAAAAAAAACTCCTAAGAAAGATATTTGGATCTATTAACGAAAATGGAGTATGGAGATCCATGTGCAACCATGAACTCTACCAACTGTTCAAACACGCACTGACCCCAGAATTCCTTAAACTTCAGAGATTTCGATGAGCTGGTCATGGACAGCAAGAATGGAGATCGAAAGATTGCTGAAAAGAGTCCTAGATAGTAAAGGAAAAAGAAAAGGTGGGAGGATGAAGTGGCAGCCTACGTGCAAAATTTGCTAAACGTGAGGACTTGAAGATGATCGACGTGGTAACGGTAAGGTTGGAAGGACCATAGTTTGGAGGAGGCCAAGGCTCGATTTGGGCTGTAGCGTCATTGGAGAGAGACAAAGTTATAATTCGCCAATTTCTAATATAAATTCTGATATTGTATTATTTTCCATTTGTACCTACATTAACAAGCTATTTAAGAACTGTATAATAGAAACCAATTTAAAATTACATACCCCAAAGTTGTCGCCACCTAAACTCCAAATGTTTTTTACTTGCAAACTCTTTTTTGATGGAATAATGCACTCTTTGTATCAACATGTTTTTAAGTCCCATCTCTTTAAGTAAATAAGGCTGGGTTAAACTCAATCCAAATGGGTCGATAGCCCAATGACTGACTGGAGTATAATTCAAATTCTGTCTTAACCACTGATGACCATCCATGAGTTGCGTCACAATCGACTGCCAATGTGAGTTAGCTTCGTCATTCATTACCCAACCACCTGTTACTATTTCTAATTGATTTTTCATCAGCAAGCTGAAAAGGATAAAAAGATTAAAGGTAATATTCTAAAGCATTAGAAAAGGGCTACGTAAAACTAGGTGCAAAGATGGATATACTAGTAACTACTTTTAAATCCGATTTTAGGCATAATTGCCAGATATAGTCCTGACCAATGACGTATAATATATAGACTCGGTGAACGCTTTAAAAAGTGTCCAAAGCATGAATACCTTTGTTATTGTTTATTGTTTTGATACGAAGATGCACGAAGTTCATGATTTCTTACGAAGCATCACGAAGTTGATCTTGTGTATGAAAACATCATGGACGTATGAAAACATTTTCTCCATTTTGTGTGACAAGCAAATTTTATTTTAAATTGTTGAGAGTTATTTACTTACTATTTTAGTAAAATGTCATACTATTTTATCAAAATAATTATTTCTCTTATAGACGGGAACAAAAAGAAATCATAAATATTTAATTTTAATTAAAAAAATAATTATTGTCATTAACATATAAATGAGCACGCCGCTGTTCTGATAAACATACCTTCAACCTTGAGCCAAGATCTTTCGGACACTCGATTCTATAGCGAGAATAGGGGACTGCGTAGTCTATATATTATACGTCATTGGTCCTGACTTATCTATTATAAATTGACGGCGCTACCATACTATGTAACTTCCAAAATTTCTAACGTCCCCTAGATATTTATACTTACGAGGAACTACAAAGACTAACAAATATTAATAATAACTAAACCTTACTGCGCTTTTTATGATTGGTTCTGTGCTCATACGATTCGGCAAAATCTTATTCGCCAATTTATTTCTACGTATTTTTGTTGGTTTCCATGCAGTTGGAAGTCTTTAGGCATCATCTTTCCTAATTACACGTTTGGTTCTATTTTCAATGTAAGCTAGCATCGTTGTTTCATTCAAATTTATTTTATATCCTACGTTTATGGCATGACATCTTCTCTTTTCTCTCGATGACATTTCGATGTTTTCGTCTAACCTGTAAACTTCTTAGAACTCTACTGATTTAATCTGTCATGCCCTTTATATAGGGCAGAATAATTTTACCAATTGGTTTTTCTTCTTCTAGCGAATCTGTAATTTTCTTTCGGAATTTCTATTCTTTTTCAATCGTATAAGAAGACAAGATTTTTATCAAAGCTGTTCCGCGTTCTTATGGTCTTCATCTAACAGTTTTTGAGATCTTGTGATTATGTAACAATAAAACACCGAAAACTTTGTTTTCAAACTTCCACAAAATTTATTTTAACTCTTATCACTACAGCTGTTTCGGCTGATTGCCTTTCTCAAGTGATCTATTTTTGGCTTGGGTTTACAAATTTATAGTCTCTAATGAAATAGGTTGAGGAGGGGAAAACTGTTTGTCTCAAGTCTCAAGTTGGTCATTCAGAATTATATCTGTGTTTTTTAATTTGTTGATTTCCATAGATTCTAACAAAGATAGCTTAAGGCCTTTATTTTGAATGTGAAGAATTTTAAATTTGTCATTAAAAGAATGATTATGATCTAGAAGGTGAAGTGCGTATGTCGAATCTGTTTTTCTATTCTTGTTTTATGTTCTGCTATTCGTTCATCAAAGTTTCTACCAGTTTGACCGATGTAAGTTTTTGGGCAGTCGCCACATTGAAGTTTGTACACACCACTATTTAACTGCTTTTTATTTTGGCTCTTGTTATTTTTAATATATTTGCCTAGGTTGTTATTTGTTCGGAAAGCTGGTGTTATTCCTTTCTTTTTTATGTGTTTGGCAATTTTTGTTGTTATTTTGCCTGTATATGTAATTGAGCAGAAGGTACTGGGTTTTTTCTCTGGTGGTGGAAATACTAATTTCAGGGCTTTCTTGTGTAGTTTTTGATTTAACATTTTATTAATTGTTTGTTCGTTGTATCCGTTGTTTACTGCTATTTGCTTAATTATATTTAATTATGTCTCAAAGTTGTATTTTGACATCGGAATTTCTGTTAATCTATGTAACATACTATGATAAGCTGCCAGTTTATGTTGTGTTGGATGGGATGACGAATTGTGTATAGTCATGTCAGTATGGGTAGGTTTATGAAATATGGAGAAGTCATGTGTGTTTTGAAGTCTGCTAATTTTTAAATCTAAAAGATTTTATGGATTGATTTTGTTCTGTTTCTATTGTAAATTCAATATGACTATGAAGTAAATTAATATACGATAAAAATTGGTAGAGTTGCCTGTTAGTTCCTGTGAAACATACCAGTACGTCGTCTACGTATCTCCACCAATATAAAAACTGTTTGAATACGGGATGTTTTGAAATCTTTGTCTCTAGATGATCCATAAAAATATCTGATAGTAATGGGCTTAGAGGATTACCCATTATAAGTCCTGCACTGTTATTTGTATATATTTTATTATTAAATTCAAAGTAGTCCTGGTTTATGCAAACTTCAAGAATGACCAACTAATTCAGAATATAATTCTGAATGACCAACTTGAGACAAACAGTTCTCCCCTCCTCAACCTATTTCATTAGAGACTATAAATTTGTAAACCCAAGCCAAAAATAGATCACTTAAGAAAGGCAATTAGCCGAAACAGCTGTAATGATAATATTTAAAATAAATTTTGTGGAAGTTTGAAAACAAAGTTTTCAGTGTTTTATTGTTACATAAAATGAATTTCCATCAAGTAACGGTCGAATCCATCAATTATCTTGTGATTAAGGTTTTGATTGCCAAATTTAATTGAGCAGGACGATGGTGTGAATCAGAGTGTAAGTAGTTGCCAGTATGGGTTGGTTTTCGGTATACTGTATATCCTATGCTTCCGTTGTCCTTCTTTATAATAAACACATTTAAGCATGGAAGTTGTTGGTTATTCTATCGTTCCAGGGTAAACTGTATTTTGGGGTAAATATTGTTGATCTGTAGCAGAAATGTGTTTAGTTTTTCTTCTCCATGTGTTCAGATAATACATGTGTTGTCAACGTACCTAGGCCACAGTTTGGATTTATGTTCTGCTATTACGGGTGAAACAACAAGTGAAATATCGGCAAGGCTGATATTCCACTAGTTCTATTTCACCTGGAACGACAGTTTTTCCTGTTTTTGTTAATTTTATGGCATTTCCCACCTCCTCTTGTTTGCTTTGTCGTTCCGAGCCCACCTATGTTGAGGCGTACTATTTCTTCAGTTAATTTTCTGCCTTCTGTCTATTTTTTCGTAGTTTTATATCTACATTATATAGAATTTCAGCTTATAAAAATAAAAAGTGTAAGGGCCATCATAACACTTAAGGAGCCATTACAGCACACTGGAATACAGACACAGGAAACACTTTATCGAGGGAGTGTTGTAGAAAGTGGATTTTACATTATCGAATTCTATGTAGACCTTTCCTCACTGCGATCTAAAAGATCTATTCTGTCTAATCTGCATATAGGTTTCGGTCCGAAAGATCTAGAGATCTAGGAAAACCTATTATTCGTTTCGCATCTACGTTTGCTACCCGATCATGTTTTATCTAAAAAGACCCGTCCCAGTTATTTATGGCGTTTGCGAACAATTACCCCATAGTTTAAGACAATATGTTTACTTTGCCCATTTTACCAAAAAGATATCGACGTCAGCAGCGTACCTAACTCTCATTTGGTAACGTCAGTCTACGAACGAAACTATGAAATTCGACATAACTGAAAACATTTAATTGTGTGTAGAACATTTTCATAGCAAGACAGAGTCGAACTAGTTTTTGCATTTGTAAAATAGTTGGAGTATTTATTGTTTTTCTTCTAGCAGTCACTTTTAATACTTAATATTGAATTCAGTATAAAATTAAAATAGTATTTCCAAGGTTCATGAAGTTTTGAAACATCCCTAACATCTTTGATTACACATATTCAGATTTTCTGAAAGAAAAATTCTCTGTAGAGAAGCAGCAAATAAATCGCCTAATGGAGTAAAACCTAACATTTTAAGGACCGTTTAGGGCGTGTACAAAATCATATTTACTGATGAATCAGACACTCAGAATAGCCGTAAAGTTTAATAATATATGTTTGTGGCGGTATTTCTCGGCTAAACCATTCGTGATACAGAACGAAAGTTTTCAATAAAGTTTTATTGTTGTTTTTTTGTTGCATTTAGTTGTTACCGTTTTGTACGTTATCTTTAAATTTAAAATTTATAAATAAATATAAACATAATGTAATACTCTGTATTATTAATTAACGTAAGATTAATTTAAGTATTATATTACTAAGGAATATTGAACATTTCCTAACCAGAAATTTATATAATAAAGATTTAAATGTTTTACCTTTTTACAATCTCCCGGCTATCTTCATTTAACTCGTCCCACCACATCGAAAAATAGGATATTTCAGCCCAAATAAATTTTCTTCTAGGATCCTCGGGCAACTTAGTCAACATATTATCCAAGATATGTTTTGTTTGAGTTACATAGTACTCCTCTAATGTTTTGATCCAACCTGGATCGTTGTGGGAATGTGGAACAACAAACACCTAAAACGTTTTATTTTTCTTAATCCCCATTAATTTCTAGAGAAACGGAGAAATGTAATAGACGCATTCTACTATTGTTTAGGATATTGTTAAATTAACAACGGAGAAAATTTTGAACACTCGATTTCTTCTTCGTTAGGAGCCGTATTCAGATGTTCGCTGTCATCATGTTTACAATTTCCAGACACCGTTCTCTATCGGCTGCTGCGTGAAATAATTCTTCTACTATGGTACCACACCATTTTCTAATATTACGCAGCCATCAAAGTTTCTTTCACCAATCCATCTCTTTCCTTCCACTTTTCCTTGAATTATAAGGGGAAAGAACTGGTATTTGTGTCCTCTAATTATATGACTTGATATGGTGATGTAGTACTTATTGCCGACACGTGGAATGCACTGAATACGATGATTAATTAGCTACACACAGAATCCCTAAAAAAGGACTAAAAATGAATTTAAGCAAAACTAAACTAATGTCAAACAAAGATGAAAAACCTATGAATATCATCCAAGAGACAGAGATAGAACAAGTAGATGAATATACATATCTGGGTCAAAATGTCAAGGTAAGCAAAGAAAATCAGACTACCGAAATAAACAGACGTGTAAAAATGGGATGGGCAGCATTCGGAAGACTGTCATACGTACTTGACTTTCTGCCCAAAAATTTCGCCCGACACCCTTCAGATTTGTTTAAAGGGGACATTTTTGAACCGGAATCCGCGAAGAAACCGAATCAGAAACATTTTCCCAACGGGAGCGGCCTCACAGCCTGGACTAATAGGACAAAAGTAGAAGATGCTGTCGAACTGGCAGCTAAACAGCTAATGGAAATGAGCTGGACATAACGAACGTCTTAAAGATGGCCGATGGAATAAAGAAATCGGGAATTGGCGATCATACGAAGCCAAAAGACCACAAGGAATACCGCAAATGCGCTGGAGCGACGATATTAAAAGAACTGCAGGTCCAATGTGGAAAGGTCTTACAAACAACAGATATGAATGGCGAGAATTAGGAGAGGCCTATATTCGGCAATCCGAATAGAGAGAAGTTCTTAAAAAAATTATATGGCCGAAGTATTCTGTTTTTCTTGTCTTTATGATGTTTTTGAGCAAGCGTTCTAAATTCATACTTTGAATATCTTCATTGGAAGTGTGCCAAACCCATGACATTTTTAGGATTCGTCGATAGCATCACAATTCGAATGCTTATCATTTCATTGTTGTTTTTAATATCCATGTCTCACAAGCATATAATAGGATAGACCCCACATAACATTTCAGGACCTTCTTGCGAATATGTATCGACAGGTTTCTGGCACACAAAACTTATTTCCAGGTCATAAAAGCCTTACGTGATGTTTCGATTCTGGTTATTATTTTTCATCAGAGTCACAATTTACATTTAACCATGCCCAGGTATTTATAATGGTTTACGCGTTCTATCTTCTCTCCATTAAGCGAAAGCAAAGCTTGATCTATATTAATATTTCCAACCGTCATCCACTTTGTCTTTGAAATGTTAATTTTAAGGCCTCTCCGATAACTTGCTTCACTGACTAGATTTACTAATGTTTGGAAATATTGTAAATTTTCTGCAAGATCGGCTGTATCGTCACTGTATCTGATGTTGATGACTTCTCCGTCTAGTCTTACTCCCTCTTGTGTATCATCCAAAGCCTCCTTAAAGATTTCTTCAGAGTATAGATTAAAAAGACTGGGTGATAAAACACAACCCTGTCTACTCCATGTTTTATAAGTAGTTTTCAGTACGACTATATTCAATTTGGAGAGAGGCTACTTCATTGTAATCTAAGTATTTTAGCAGACTTACATCGTAGTGGTAAAGTCCTGCTGTCTGCAGGTAATTGAAAAGTGTATCGTGTTGAACTCTGTCGAATACCGACATTCTACTAGAGCATTTTACTAGGGAGTATACTGGTTTCCCATTGCCTTTCCATCGCAGTGTTTTAGCCGTAACAATCTATAGTAATTGTCGCCTAAAAGTGTCCGTATTAAACTGTTAATCTTCTCCACCATCTTCTACACAATAATGAAAATGCTGCTTCCCATTTCCATGTGCTAGTTGAATTGAGTAGGTAGGCATTTAGAACACTTGATTAGGTAGACATTAATTTAGCAATGTCGTAAACTTTTAATTATTATGTTCAAATTTAGTTGTACATAGTTTCAAGCACAAAATTTCTTGAGACGATTTTTCTATTATTATGTTTTATCTTTTTAAGATGTTCCTGACTACAAAAAATCAAAAGTATTTTATACGGTTGAACTGATATTGAAGATGAGCTTTCAATAAAGGATTTGAATATACAGGGCGTTATGTTTAAAAAACCAAAACCAAAGATATCAAAAAATGGTAAATCTGGCAACATTACAAATATCAAATTTCAAATCATCATATTGCAAAACAGGTGTATTCCTGTTATTTTATAATTCGGACCATTCATTTAAGAGATAATTGGGTGTTTCCAGACTTTTGGTCTACTCTGTATATGGACAGATGATTAAAAATTTAAAGTCACTTTGAATTAATTATGTGGACAGAGTAATTACCTAGTGGGAAAGATATTTATAAATGGGTATTTACCGTTGCCTTGGGGGATATTTATGCTTTAAGCTTGAACATATTAAAATAAGGTTTATAATTTTAAACTCGTATAAAAATACTGTCAAAAACCAACAAAGTTTTGCAATGATAGTAATAAAACAAAAACGTAATGTGGTACTCCGGAAGTGGCCGAAAAACGTAAGCATAGCTTTCTTATCGTCTAAGCAAGGAGCGATGGTTTTAATTTACTTTAATTTATTTTATTTTATTCTATTCTATTATATTTCTATTAGATTCGATAATTGATTCGATTTTTAAAACATTAACTGTTAAAATAACGGTTGAAAACTAGTCTGAAAGTCTCGGGCGCGGGTCAGTTGTCAAAACCTCTTTCTTGTCTGATTTTAATTGTTTTCTAGGCAACTCTTGACTTTGAGTTTCCGAGTAGTCTATGAATTTCACTAAATTTTTTATCCCAGAATTATAGTGTATTTTTATGTATGAGAGATTAATAAAACAATAAATTATGTATGCAAATCCCTAAACTGTTGATACGGGTGACTCAATGAAAAACAGATATTTGTCAACAAGTTTACAGAAGTATATAGGAAAATAATTTTAAATTGAGTATGACCACCAGGTATAAAGGTTGGAGCAGAATAGAATACAATAGTTGTGAGGGTTACTAATCCCTAAATAAGGTTGCCAGTGTCGGAGTGATGGAGGTTAACAGGTACTAATGAATTTGCAAGAAATGTAAAATGTAAAATTGATCCTTTCACAGTTAATGAAAAAACATTAATATTTAATTGTTTTAAATCATTTACAGACAAACGTTTATGTGAAAGTGTTGATGAGACCGTTGAGTTAGTTAGCAGTACACTTGGTGTTGGGAAATCTACGATTTACAGAGTTATTAAAGAAGAGAAATGTGGTAGTCTTCAAATGCCACGTAATGCTCCAGGGAAACCAAAATTTCAAATAGAATATCATTTTAAAGAAGGACTTCGACGGAAAGTGCATGAATTCTTCTTTAGACAAGAATTTCCAACATTGGATAAAGTTCTTGTCTCAGTTCGAGATGATAAGGATTACCCAGAAATGAGTCGAAGTACGTTATGGAAACTTTTAAAAGAAATAGGCTTCCGCTGGAAAAAGAATCCCAGAAAGTCTATTTTATTAGAAAGAAGCGATATTGTCATATGGAGAAGACATTTTCTAAGAACCATAAAGGAAATGAGAAACCAAAAAAGAAAAATATTTTATCTTGATGAAACATGGATCAACGAGGGTCATACACCAAATAAATTTTGGCAGGATGAAACTGTTACAAGTCAAAGGCACGCTTTTGTAAATAACTTATCTACTGGTTTAAGCCCACCATCAGGAAAGGGACCCAGGCTGATAATAGTACACATTGGCAGTTCAGACGGTTTTGTTGAAGGTGGTTTATTAACTTTTGAATCAACTCGTACCGGTGACTACTATGAAGACATGAACGCTGATGTCTTTCAAGAATGGTTCGAACAAATGATAGATCTTCTTCCTAAGAACTGTGTAATAGTAATGGATAATGCAAGTTATCACTCCAAACTTATAGAAGGACTGCCCACAACCAAGTGGTTAAAAAAAGACTTGCAGAATTGGCTGAGTTCAAAAAATATTACGTACCATCCCGGATCTATAAGAAAGGAACTTTATTCGTTGTGTGCCCTTCATAAAGAAAAATTTTAAAAATACGAAATTGATGAAATTGCCAAAAATCGTGGAATGACAGTACTTAGATCCCCACCATATCATTGTGAATTAAACCCGATTGAACTGGTATGGGCACAGATAAAGAGTAAAGTTTCAAGAAAAAATACCACTTTTAAAATTCATGATGTTAAACAGTTGTTTTTGGAGGCCGTAAATAATGTAAAACCTGAAAACTAGGAAAAGGCAGTAAATCACACTATTAAAGAAGAGGAAAAAATGTGGAAGCTGGACAATATTACTGATAAAATGATCGAGCCAGTTATTATAAATCTTGGTTCTGAAAGTTCATCTTCTGAATCTGATTTTAATTTGTTACAAGTAGCTGTAAGTTTTATATTAATATTTTTATTCATCTATTTAACATACCTTCCATCTATAAAAATGTGAATTTTTTAAAACCCTTTTTAATGTAGGCCAGTCAATTCTAATATAGTGTGTGATAAAAGAGGTCACTTTTGTTTACATACACATCACTTTATAACACTGAAATAATTCATTTATTTTTTACAATTATTCAAAGTAATTTTTCAATTAATCTTGAGCACGCCCATGGAGTGGTCGGAGATACCAGTTAAAATTATGCTAATTACTCTCTCGTTCATAAAAATAAACTATACTTCTAGGCTTTCTTTACTACTTTTTTGTTTCATAATTGTGTCTGACATATTTTTCTATTCTTTGATGTGGCTGCATTAAGCCATTTTTCATAACTTTATATTTTGTCTCTGATTATATTTTCTCACATATCCACCAATACGATTTTAGATCCTTTTTGTTTGTTATCTCGTCTTCTCCTAATACTGCCATAGCAACAGCGTGCAGATACTCTTTAAGACTTGTCTATCTTTCCTCCGGTGTTCCTTCTAGTGTTTTCACTAGTTTGTTCGCTATATGATATGAATCTTCATATTATTAAATCGAAATACAGTCCAACGATTCTAAAGTATTTCATACTTTAGAACCTCACTGTATAGGTACATTTAACATGTTATCGTTAAACACTGTATGGGACCGTTAACAAATATTTTTATAGTTCGTTGCACGTTTATGTAAATGTAAAAAAGTACATTACAGATAACCAACCAACAATTTTACGAACAGTAACATGTTTGGAAAAATAAACAGGCTAATTATCTCTAATTGTTTTCGCAAATATAAAAATTTCAATAAACGCGGCGAACAAATTGGTAAAAACGTTTACATTGTTGAATGTAATATAAACTAATTTTAAAGATATTTTGTGTCAATGTCCTTTGAAATTTAATTTTGTACTGACTAGTTAATTGACGATAGCTGTATCAACGAATACGCACAGTCGGAGCACAATATCATTAACCGATTTGATTCTACACTTTAAAATATTACGATTAAGCCAAGTTGCTCTAATAAAATGTTGATATTAAGAAAGATACAGGCTGTTAAAGTGGAAATTTGAAATTTTAATTTTTGCTATAGCTTTATGTTTGTGAACATTTATGTATAAAATTTCATAACTGGGTACTATTGAACATCAGGAATTATAATTTGATGCATACTTTAATGTAGCTGATAGAGGGCGCCACATATGCCACATGTGTGGCATACAATTACATAATTTAGATTTAACACAATTACTCCAGACAACGAAAGAAAATTAGACAAAAACATCAATACTTCTGAATTTTTGTATCAAATGCCTTTAATAAAGTTAATAGTTAACGAAATATTAAATAAAATAAATAGATCAGCAGGATAATTAATAGTAGATAGGATTTGACAAAACAACAGAATAATTTGGTTGTACATCAAACATTTTACGTTTTGTATAAATCATAATCAAAATATTTTATTTATAAACCAAATTAAGAACTAGCTAAACTAAATAACAAAACTTTTTGTCAAATTAAGTGTTCGATATGTCCACCATTTTCTTTAATTCATTTGTCAATACATTCCATAAAAGGTTGTCTCATATTAAATAGCATCATTGGTTCTAAAGAAACTATTATATATATATATATATATATATATATATATATATATATATATATATATATATAATATAATATAATATAATAATAAAGTATTCATTTGATGAATTAAATAATTAATTATATTAATATCTCACCACATGACCAAGGAATATGACTACCACGAAAAATCCAACATTCAGGAAAGTTGCACTTAAGTATGTTCTCATTGTCCTCTCTCTATAATGTGGTGGTGTAACATCTTGCATAAACCACATATTTCGCCTAAGTTTGATGGCAATTCTTCCACCAAATCAATAAAATAATTTTATAAAAAATGAAAATAAATCTCACCATTCAAATTACAAGGTAATTCGCATGTCCGTAAAAAATAATTACAAAGTGTACCAAACCATACGATAGGCATTTTAAACATGAATTTTAAATAAACGTATGGTTTGGAACCATTGGTATATTGTTAACAGACATGCTAATTACCTTGGCGAGATTTATTTACATTTTTTATAAAATAATTTTATTGATTTATTGGAAAAATTATTGTTATCAAACTTAAGGCGAAATATGTGGTTTATACAAGATGATACACCACCACATTATAGAGAGAGGACAGTGAAAACATAATTAAATACATCTTTCTTGAACGTTGGATTGTTCGTGGTAGTCATATTCCTTGGTCATGTGGTGAGATATTAATATAATTATTTAATTCATAAAAATCCCAAACGAATACTTGATTATTATATTATATATTTATTATATATTATACTTTGAATAGTTTATAATAAAATATGCTATTTAATATGAGACGATCTTTTATGGAATGTATTGACAAAATGAATTAAAGTAAATGGTGGACATATAGAACACTGACTTTGACAAAAAGTTTAATGTTATTTAGTTTAACTATTTCTTAATTTGGTTTATAGATAAAATATTTTGATTATGACTTTAATTTAATACAAAACGTAAAATGTTTAATATAAAATCCAATTATTCTGTTATTTTGACAAATCCTACTATTAACTATCCTGCTGAACTATTTATTTTATTTAATATTTCGTTAATTATTAACCTTATTAAAGACATTTTATACCAAAACTCAGAAGAACATAAAAGTTATAGCGAAAATTAAAATTTTAAATTTCCACTTTAACACCCTGTATCTTTCTTAATATCAACATTTTATTAAAAAAAAATTGATTTAAATCGTAATATTTTAAAGTGTACAATCTACGGTTTCTTTTTGTACAATTACTTAAGGACCACCCTGTATATAAAATATTGTGAATAATAAAAACTTACCTTTAATTTATTATGTTTGTTCCATTCCTTTTCATCTACATCAATCCGCCATCCTTGTTTCCATACTCCTCCATCCACATTGTCAAAATTAAGACTATTATATACATCTAACATCTGTATATCCATTTGGGGTACCATATCAATTTTAAAAGAACAAGTTTTGTCAAATATAAATTCAGATTCTACAACTTCTTTTCGAGATCTATTAAAAGGCACTATTTGTTTTAATGGATAAACAGTTGTATTGGTCTGCATCAAATTTTTCATCATTTCTTTCATTTCGTCAACTGCGTCATGGTGTTTATGCAGGTCTTCTTCCAATTGTTTCATTTTAGATTCAAAGTGTAACCATTTGTTCTAAAACATTATTGTTAAAATTAAAAAATATGCAGTAGTCCATTTACTGAACAGTTTGCTCCAAATAGTAGTTGAAAAATAATTCAAATAACAAAAGTTATGTAGTGTTATGTGCTTCTACCCTGGTATTGAAAGCCACCCTCTCTCGGGAATAGAAAAAAAAAGCCTCGGAAATAGATAGATAATTACATTCTAATTCAAATATTGCGCTCCAGTCTGGCTAAACAGTCACCATACTAACGTTCTACATGTCCAATTAAATCACATCAAATATATTACGAGGACCGCATAGAGCACGCCAACTTAGTGGCTTCGGGTTTTAAGCACCATCCAAAACACGACGGTTAGCTACCCTTAAAGCTCAATACAAGAAATGTCAAAAGAATTCACCACTGACAATAAATACCGACTATCAGTTAAAGCTGAATCAGGGCCAATTGCGACTGAAAACTCTAACCCCGCCAACAAGACCAGCTACACGTTACACAATTCAGATACGTTACTGTGTTACAGTTTCGTCGGGTATCTTTCCCATTAGTTTGCTGGTATGTTATTGTATTCCTTCAATGATGCCGTTTCTTTTTCCAAAATTAAAAATAATTTAGTGATTCGGTCATTGCATTTCATATTGGACATTCGGGTCGGTATAAATAACACAGGCCTACATTTTTATTTTCATGAAAAAGTGTTTTTGAGTTGAATAGGTGTCCTATATTAAATGGGATGTGCTGATCACGAATCTGTACTTAGTTGTGAAAGAAAAGTGTGTTTTTCATAGAAACTGTCACAAATACTGAGAAAATATTTATTGAAACCTAATTTAATATAAAATTACACTGCAAAATTGAGTTGTTTAAAAAAAAAATTCAGTGTAACCCACGTTAAACAATATTTGTTGTTTTTTTAATAAAACCGTTCACTTTTTCCAGGAAAACTGCAATTTGTGGTCTTCTTTTTATGGATTTTTGTGATCGAGTCTCTCTTCAAGGTCCAGCAGTAATTAGACATAATTCTTATATCCCTTCTTTCTTGGTAACGTCTTTCCATCTCCTTTATATCTTGATGGAACCTTTCTTCCAGCTCCTCGCTGACAGCTCCAAGATTTTTGGGAAAATTGTCAACGTGGTAGTCCAAAAAACGAAGTTTGACGCCCATATTGCATCCCAGTTTTTGTTGTTAACCACAATTTCTTTATAGTCTGGAGACTTGTCATTTCCAAGGAAACCGTTTATGAGTTCTACGAAAAAACTGTATGCTTCAGATTCATCCTGGGTCATTGTATTCTGGAACAATCTGTCAGATTTTAAGGTTCTAATTTGAGGGCCTACAAAAATTCCTTCTTTAAGTTTAGCTTTAGAAAATGCATGAAATTTGTCGCACAAATATTTAAAGCAATCACATTTTTTTTATCTCAATCTTTGACAAACTGCTTCATCTAATCCTAACTTTATGTGAAGAGGATGCAAAAGAACTAATTTTAGGTCAACTAGTGTATCACGTTGCACATTTTTTTGTCCCGGTATTAGTCTTTCTCTGAGTGACCACTGTTTCTTAACGTAATGTAAATTTCGTGCTCGAGTGTCCCACTCGTATAAAAAACATGGATAATATGTGAATCCAGACTGCTGACCCAAAAACATGGATATTATTTTTGAGATCTTCACAGAATTACCAACAATATTCGCTATGCTTTGACAATGACACTCTTCAGACTTCTCTTAGAAGAATCAATAAATAACCGCCATGATGTGGAATCGTAATTATCAGCTCCCAGTTCCATGACTACTTCAGAAATATTATGGCAATACACCCGTGAACCCTCTTGAGAAAAATATTCCGCGAACTCTTTTTAACTATGCCTATACCACAAAAATGTGGTAACGGGAGCCAATAGATTTTTATCTTTCAGTCGTGATCCTAAGTTTTGGGCAGCATCCTTCGATAGGCCCAAGTCTCTCACTAAGTCATTTAGTTCAGCTTTTTGTAGCGTTTTATATTTAATGTCTAAATAATAATATAAATTCGATTCTATATAGTACGCCCCTGGTATGCTAGAAATGTATTGTCTGTAGAGATTTTTAAATACGCAATAATTCTTCAATAAATAAAGACGTATTTGCTAAAGAAAACAATTTATGGCTTTTTAACTTCAACGTTCCCAGAAAAATATTGCAACCTTGGTATTATTTTTTCTAAAGCGCAGTAACGCCGGAAGTTTTGGACGAGTTTGAGTGAAGAATTTGTTGATTTGACAAGATGGAATGGTTTTGTGCGGGGAAAAGAGGGGTTACTATCCGCAGATTGAGATCGAGGAGGGTCAAGCGAAGTCAGTGATGAATAATTGCTCGAAGGGAAAGGTCGTTTTAATTGTGATGTGGTAAGCCGGCATTTATTCGCCAAAATTGGTGGAATTTTCACTCTATGTAATATGTCGTTTCTGAAAGAGTGACCACTAACCACTGTTTTGATTTTGCTGAAGATTTATAATGTTTGAAAAGTGAACGAGTTTAGTTCCTGCTTGTTTTTCGTTTTTTGAGAAATCCAGTTCCTTTCCGAGATGCCTTTTCACCTCACGTAGAATAATATTGGAGCAGTTTTGATTTGGATGTGCAGTTTCAGCTTCCAATAAGCTTTCCGTTGATGTGCAGTTAGATACCCGCAGAAATTAGCCACTTGTTCAAAAGTTTAAGTTAACATGTGTGAACTGAGGTAACATTTACGTTATTAATTTTTAAAGTAAAAATAGACATTTTCTTTTAAAAAGACATAATTTGCTTTCTTTTATAAATTATTTTTTAAAAAAATATTTGTAATTAAAATAAATATTATGTTAGGGCCTGGTTTAAACTGTCATGTCATAATTTTATCCTGTTTTAAAAATGTTTGTTTTAACGTATGACAGTTTGATTTTTAATCTATTTTGATTTGTAGTAAAGATTAAATTTTATTCTTTATAAAAGGATATCCATAAAATTTGGCCACATTATCTACTAGGAACCATTTCGAAGAATTTTGTAACCTTTTGTAAACAGATATGTAAGCTTTTTCATTTTTATTTGACAGCCATTTTTATATAATATGCCTTTGTATAAGCTGTATTTTTGAAAACTGAGACAATAATAAATGTTAGATTTGTTTCCCTAATCTATTTTTTTATTTTATTTAGAAAAATCTCCTAACCTTTTTTTTATTTTATATAGGTACTAGGGAAGAATTTTTTCTTTCCTTCTGTAAGCTAGGATCCTTCAAGTGGCGCCCTATAACAAATTTCTTGAGGTGTTCCCAGTTTATTTTTGATCTGTTTGTCCTATCAATTGCCCAGGAGATTTATGTAAGTATCCCTTAGTTTCAAGTAGTAGATACCCCAATCCAAAACCCTTTATTTCAACTTATCCACGACCCAGCTCTCCAATAACCAACTGAGTGTCGTTCGCACTTGTTACGATTATTTTGTTTGCCCAATCTTCTACCCCTCATGTTCTTAACCTGAGGTAAGCAAAATATTGTCGTTACATTTTGAGGTTGGTCTATCTCAGGATTGAATTCATCTTCATCGGTTTTTTCGTCTGAACTTTCATCTGATGATTGCTGTTAGATGGTGTGAAGAGAAGTTGGAGGAATAGGGATTCCTATTTCATGTGATACAGGTCGTTTAGCAGAAGGTAAATTAGGATATTGAATTTTGTGTGAATTTTTTGAATTGAAGCCCTTGATATTGCAAGAGCAAAAGTAGCAGTCGTCATGGTTTTTTGGTTCTCTCCATACCATAGGAATACCGAAGGGTAAAGTGTTACATGTACGTTTTCTCCATTTTCTCAGTAGTTCGACACACTGAAAGCACACTTTGTAACGAGCCCAAGGGATGTCCTGATCACCAAACTTTCCAAGCACCAATAAGGTACTTGTTTGCGCTAGTATATAATATCTCACAAGGTTTTTTCAATTTGAAAATTTTTACGTGAGGGGCAGTGTTGCCATGCAAATGAAATTAACATAATAATGTACTAACATATTTTCTATCTATATATCTATATCTATAATCTATAGATTTTCATCATCATCTTGGTGCTACAGCCCTTAGAGGGCCTCGACCTTCTCAAGCTTTCTACGCCATTCCGTTCTGTCCCTTGCTTGCATTTTCCAGTTGCCGACTCCGATCTTCTCCGCATCTTGTGTTACCCCATCCATCCACCGCAGCTTTGGTCTACCCCGTCTTCTCATTCCCACGGGTTGCGCTGTTAGAATATTTTTTATCATGTTCGATTCAGGGGCCCTGCTCACTGCAGGCGGTTTCGCTTAATTATAGTGGTAATATCTTTACCACCAAACGTATGCTTGTAGATAGTTTGCAATTCAAAGTTATATCTACGCCTCCATATTCCGTTCTCACAGACCGCTCCGAATATGTTTCTTTCAAAAATCGATAGAGCGGACTCATCTGTTTTAGTTAGCGTCCATGCCTCTGATCCATATGTGAGAACGGGGACTATCAGTGTTCTATGCAGCCTTATACGAGTTTTTTGAGACAGACGTTTGTTAGCTAAGTACTTTGGTAGACCATGATAACACCTGTTTGCAATTATGATTCGCCTTTTTATTTCCTCAGATGTGTTATTATTGGGGTTAACCGATGTCCCTAGATATATGAACTCTTTGACTGTTTCGAAGTTTTGGTCATTGATGATTAAATTTGCGTATTTCCAGCTCTTGTGTTTGTGTTAGTCGCCATGAATTTGGTTTTATTTTGATTTATATGTAACCCCATTCGTTCTGCTGGTACTACTAGCTCGGTTAGGATTTCCGCAGTTCTCGGCCTGGTTCTTGTTATAATATCCACGTCGTCTGCATATGCTAGAATTTGGACTGATATATTAAATCTATAGATCTATAAAGTATTTTAAAGAAATAATTTTAATGTAATTTACGAAACATCAATAAGGTATTTGTTTGCACTAGTGCATAATATCTCACTAGATTTTTTTTGTGAAAAATTTTGACGT